AGATTTCTCATGCACCAGCCACCTCAGACACGGCGTCATTTGGATCGTTCATTGCCTTTTACACCATCATATCTCAGTGTGTACGGCCACGGCCAGCTCCAGCCAGGACAGTTTATTGAAGCGGAACATCAAGATGCTCTCAACTCATTCTAGTCGGAGTTTGCCTGTTTGGATCTTCTCAAGCATGCCCACTGAGCCTGGCATTATCAGTGCGTGAGCTACTTTCTGCTTCGCCAGCCATGCATGTGACAGCCTCCATCTATATCGTCATGCTCGAAGTGGTTAAACTGTATGCAAGAATTTCTTCTGCTGTCTTCCCATTCACCTACGCTGTGTCAATGACCCTTGGCTACTAACAAATGACAATTGACAACTGACCACCGACCACTGACTAACTAAAATCTACAGATAATGTCCTGACACCAATTTTAGACTAGGCTGAACTGGAGTCCATAACCCATCCTCCCCCCCCCCCCCTCTCTCCTTTTTGTTTTGTTTTCTGGTGAGAAAGATTTGAACATACACCCTTCAGGAAAACATGCCAACGTGCTAACTAGTAAACTACCACAGTCCTCACGTGTCTAGTTTATCAGGCAAAGATGAAACCTTTAATTAGTCGTACCATGACTTATGGATACTCTTTCATTTGTAAGGGGCAGGTTCGAATCTTCTGTACATTTAATCTTCAATCAGCAGTCCTTCCCAGAACGTCGCTCTCGCCCCGACACACCTGAAAGCCACCTTTCTCTAACAAATTCTCCAGCCCTATGTTCCTTCATAGACAGTGTGTCTACAATGTCTTTCATCCACTTTCATGAAGGTCGGCCTCTGTATCGTTTTCGGGAAACTGCACCTTATATCACTGTTGTAACCAGACCAGCATGACGTTTAACATGGCCAAAATACACCAGCTGTCGGGACAAGATGCTGTTTATGAGCCAATTCTCCTAGACCAGTCGTTTAACATGGTCAAAATACATCAGCTTTCGGGCAGGATGCTGTTTATGAGCCAATTCTCCTAGACCAGTTGTTTAACATGGTCAAAATACACCAGCTTTCTGACAGGATGCTGTTTATGTGCCAATTCTCCTAGATAAGGGGTTTAACATGGTCAAAATACACCAGCTGTCGGGACAGGATGCTGTTTGTGAGCCAATTCTCCTAGATCAGTGGTTTAATATGGCCAAAATACATCAGCTTTCGGGCAGGATGCTGTTTATGAGCCAGTTCTCCTAGATCAGTGGCTCTAAGCCTTCCTAATGCCTTGACCCTTTGATAGAGCTCCTTCATGTTGTGGAGGCGGCGTCCGTGGTTCAGGCTTGCGGGTCCGACTCGTAATTCCGTACTCCTACTGCGATCGTAACTCCCTGCTGGCTGCGTAAATTTGTATCGTGGTATGGGGCGTGGCAGGTCGACCTAGCCTAAAATGAATACCAGGATGAATGTCCTGGGGAAATAAAGATGGCCAGAATAATGCTGACCACATTACCCACCTAGTGCTGACTGGTCTGTGAAAATATGGCTGCTCTTCCTATATGCCTGATGCGCCTAAACGGCTTGAAAAGGGAAATTTTCTTTACTAACATGTTGTTGCGACCTCCAAACAATTATTTTTCTTCATAATTTCAATAAATATGTGTTTTGCGATGGTCTTAGGTGACCCATGGGAAAGGGTCGTTCGACCCCCCCCCTACAAAAAGCGTCGCGACCTGCAGGCTGAGAACTGCTGTCCCAGAGGCTCAGATCTTGTATGATATCGGTGTTTCTCTTCTTCTTGATCTACGACGTTTAACAATTGGTTTGTAGCAGTTTAGTTCAAAAGTTTCCTTGTTTCTGTCTTCAAAGATGTAACAATAGTAAATGGCTATCATCCATAAGTTCCCCATGTGGGTTCCAGGGCCCTATTGAGAAAAAAACAAGAACAGACCCACTGCCTACCCACAAGAATGTCGTAAGAGTCGACTAACTGGGAGCTTCCTTTAAAGTCAGAGTATATCTGCCTGAGAGGCAATGAACCAGCAGTCTGCACACAAATGTGTCAGATCTGTCAACCGGATACACACGCAACACTCAGGAACAGGACAGCAGTCCAGAAGTGGACGAACAACCAGAACTTTCCACCAGTGTTTATAGCTGGTGAACGCAAAGAGGAATAAGACATTCATAAGTTGCCACGGGAAAAGATGCATCTTTACTGTAACTTGCTTGCAGGTTCCGCGTCGTGGATTCTTTAGCGCATTTAGCTTTCCAACCCCCCCCCCCCTCCCCTCCCCATTTGCCTACTCTCTCCTTGTCTCCTGCAGTAACCGTGTGGATTTCAGGTACCTATTGTGGGAAAATAAAAAAGACAGACCCGCTGTCTCCCCTACAAGCATGTCGTAGGAGTAGACTAATTGGGGACTTCCTTCGAATTCTGAGTAAATCTGCCCAGACCAGCCAGCTGCACACAAATAAGTACACAAATAACAGACGTACATGTCAAACTCAGGGCCTGGTTCAAACCCGAAGTCCAAATGGACAAACAACCAAGACTTTACGCCAGAGCTTACAGACGGTTAACAAAAAAGATGTAGATGTATTAGTAAAAAAAAAAAAAAAAGCTTAAAGTCGGGAAGACTGACTTCATAGCATCTGGTTATATTCAGTCTGACACTTTCTCTCTGACAGGCAAAGGCTAGCCGCCTGCCGAGAGCGTCGCATAAAGCACGAACTCTCTAGTTCCAGCGACGATCCCCATGTGTGTACGTAAAAGGTGCGCTCGTGAACCGAATGACACAGCCGTAAAACGAGCCCACAACCTTCAGAGAGCGAGGCAAACACCTTGGTCACGGAGACCTTCCCCAAACCTCCCAATGTATGCTTGTTAGTTTACAGCACAAACGACTATCCCAAGCTGTGTTATTTCTGTGTCTTCTTCTCCTTCTCCAGTCATGTTCTACCTTTTAGTGTGAGGTCTTGAAGAGTCATCAGGCGCCAGCTTAGGTATGTGCTACGCAGATGCTGGTATTTACGGCCTCTGATATTCTGTCTATCCATGGCTTGCGAGGTCGACCTCAGCTTTGCTCCGTTGTGTCTAAATGGCAAGGGGTCACTTAGTGCCCTATTCACCATTCCTAATACCAGGAAACAATCAGTTTGACGACAATCAGTTTGACGCGTCATCAAATGTGTTTAGACGTTGCGACCGCGCTTGGTAATGCCGGAGTGCCTGCTTCGATCCCATCTGCAGGCAGTTTGGCAGCAAAACGCCTTGCATAGGTTTCAACAGTGGTACCGAGAGCTGACCGTTGAGTAGGCAATGTCAAACTCCTAACTTAAAATCTGCCTAGAAAAACCACAATAACAGACAGCTAGCTTTAAAACCTGGTGGAGAAACGACTGGTCGAACGGTTAGGAACGCTGGGCTCTCGTTTGGAAAATCCATATTCAAATTCTCGATAGGATTGTAGATGATTTTTCTTTAGTGCCCCCCCCCCCCCCCCCCCCCCCCCCCAACACCAATCCTAACTTGCAAAGTCTGTATCGACGGCTCTAGAAATGTGACTCTAAATCCTGAAAATCAATGCCCTTTTGTCACGACCAACGTGGTAATTACAGGCTGTAGTTTGACCGTCGGTTTTTCTGTAAATGTTGTCAATAGAGTGGATTCAGCATGGCACTCTACAGCCAATGTTCCTAATAGAGTGGATTTAGCATGGCACTCTACAGCTAATGTTCCCAATAGAGTGGATTCAGCATGGCGCTCTACAGCCAATGTTTCCAATAAAGTGGATTCAGCATGGCGCTCTACAGCCAATGTTCCCAATAGAGTGGATTCAGCATTGCACTCTACAGCCAATGTTCCCATAAGAGTGGATTCAGCATGGCACTCTACAGCCAATGTTCCCAATAGAGTGGATTCAGCATGGCGCTCTACAGCCAATGTTCCCAATAGAGTGGATTCAGCATGGCACTCTACAGCCAATGTTCCCATTAGAGTGGATTCAGCATGGCGCTCTACAGCCAATGTTCCCATAAGAGTGGATTCAACATGGCGCTCTATAGCCAATTTTTTTTAAACGCTCATAATTTTCTCAATTCAACTTTATGCTCTACAGCAAACCATGATTTTTCATTAAATATTTATAACAATCTCGACCTAACAAACACAGTTAATGTTACTTCCTCTAAAATGGTTCTAATGTAACTTTCTTTAGAACATGTCTGCTGTTATTTTGTTTTACACAGGTATAATGTAATTTTATCTTGAATATTTCTAATGTTACTTTCTCTAGAACTGGTCTAATGATCATTTCTCCTAAACGGATTTTTTGTTTTTTTCTTTGAAACAGATCTAATTTTATTCTCTGGAAGTGGCAATATTATGCTCTCTCTCTCTCTCTCTCTTTCTCTCTCTCTCTCTCTCTCTCTCTCTCTCTCTCTCTCTCTCTCTCTCTCTCTCTCTCTACAAAATGTCTAATTTAGATGTGTCTATGACATGTCTAATGTCACTCTCTCTTCAACAGGTATAATATTATTTTCTCTCGATCATATCTAATGTTATATTTTCTAGAACAAATGTAACACTGTGTTGAATATGTCTAATGTTGCTCTCTATAGAGCAAATCTAATGTTATTTTGTCCACAGCACGCCTAATGTTACTTTCTCTATGTCAGATGTAATGTTACATATCTACAACAGGGCTAGTGTTACTTTCTCCAGAACAGATCTAATCTACAACAGATATAACGTTACTTTCCCTACAACAGGCCTAATGTTTAGTCTCTCTAGAACAAGTCTAATGTTTAGTCTCTCTAGAACAAGTCTAATGTTTTGTCTTTCTAAAACAAGTCTAATGTTCAGTCTCTCTAGAACAAGTCTAATGTTTAGTCTCTCTACAACAAGCCTAATGTTTATTCTCTCTAGAACAAGTTTAATGTTTTGTCTTTATAGAACAAGTCTAATGTTTAGTCTCTGCAGAACAAGCCTAATGTTTAGTCACTCTAGAAAGAGCCTAATGTTACTTTCTCCTGAACAGGTCTAAAAAGGTGTCTCGAAAGTTCTTGCACATGGCCACGTAGATGACAAAGTTGACGGATCCGTTGACGGCGAAGAGGAATTTGTAGATATGGTAGACAAACACACCGACAGACCGGAAGTTGGGGTTCTCTATGAAGACCGGGAACACCATGAGATCTGGCATGATGGTAGACAAGCTGATGGGAGAGCATACGATTGTGTAAAACACACACAGACACAACAGCATCTTGGTAGTTCGCGATGTAGAATGGTCACCCCTGGTCTTCTTGCCAGCTCGTGTACTGTTGGTCATCTTGAGCCTCCTGATGGCGGCTAGCTTCACCTTGATGCCAATGGCCACGCAGCCGAAGCCCACAAAAATGACCAGTCCGATGAGAGAGTTGACCACAATCTCCAGCGCCTTGGAGACGTGTCTCTGAGACCAGTACACGCCTGTTCTTATCGCGATCCCGACGGAGGCATTCCGGGAAATGTCAAAGACGTAGGCAAACTGGAACCAGGTGCGGACGTATATCTGAATTCCGTAAAAGAAGAGGTTGGGTATGAGGGCAGCGATGATTGTCCTCCGTGGAGTCACGATAGAAGGGAACCTGAGCGGTAGAAATACAGCAATCAGCCTTTCAATAGTTATAAGAGGAGGGATGCACAGCGATGCCGGTCCGCTGCCCCAGTTGAGGCTATCGAAGATGTGATAGAAGTAATACAGTATTCGGGCGCTGGGTTCTGGATACTGGAAGCCCCCAGCGCCCCACTCATAAATAGCCTTTGGGGGGCCCGTTTACCCCGATCATAAAAAGAATATCGGAAATGGCCAAAGTGAAAAGCAGGATGTTGGAGCTCTTGCGGAAGCCATGTTTGGCCAGGACGATGACGCTGAAAGTGTTGCCTACGATCCCCAGCACTGATATTGATGGCGTCACGATAAACACGAATGTCCAGTGGACAAAATCGGTCACGTGGTCCGCATCGGGTGCGTATTTGCTGCTTCCAGAAAATTCTGGCAGGCTGAATTTATTGATATACTGGTTGTTGTTGATGCTGTTATCATTGTTGATTATTTTGCGGTTCGCGTATGCGATAGTGCAGCTAATGTGGATGAATGTGGAGAGTGTTGATATTATGGCTGCCATCGCATCGTGTTGCTAGGTAACCTCAAGCACTTTCCAGGGCTCGACACGGTCCTGCCTTAAATGTAATGATAGCTTCTAGAAGGTCACTTTTCAGTCCAGCTTTTCATCCATTTATTGGATGTGGTGTCATCCAATTATAATTGTTTGTAATTTCAACCTACAATTTCTAGAAAAATAGGTGTGTGGGTTTTTAAAAAAAACTTTAGGTGGCCCGGGGGGGGGGGGGTGGGGGGGGGGGGGGGGGTGGGGGAAGGGAGTATGACACAAATTTATGAGTAGGTTCAAGGAAGGGTCAAACTAACCTCATGACAAACCGATGTTGACGCAGATTATCCTGCCAGAAATATTGGCACCGCTAGAATTAGGAAAAGCATGGCTGCCATCCGCATCGTTCATTCGTTCATATCATTTTAATTACATGTGTCAAATATTCCCACTTTTCAGTCCTTTGTTTTATCTGCGCTCCACTTCTGCCCTAGGGATGTTGCAGAACCTACACGAATGTCACATAGAATCGAATAACTACTTACAAATTAAAGTCCTTAATAATACGCACAAGGAATCCTTGAGTTGGCAATAATATAATCTGAACTATTTCCCCGAATGATTGGACGTGTAAAGTTGTCACTGGTTAGATGGATAATAAAGAGACAATAAACAGAGCAAAAACAGACAATAAATGGCAGAAACCCAGATAATAAACGACAACAAACAGACAAAGCAGACTCTGCTTAAATAATTATATAAAGAATATATTACAAGTGGTTGTAGGGAAATGTACAGAACGACACAGTGTCAACCTTTGTGGCACCGAAAAAATACAAAATCAGACATTAATACAACAGTAAATTGGAGTATTGGTTTTTCAGGGTGGAAAACAATAATTTGTAAGATGAATGCACTGTATATTATTAAATGGTCGCCCTTTTGGTATAAAGTTATAAAGAGATAATTGCCATTTTCCCGCCAGGCCCGTTCTGAAGTTTTAATTTAGGAACGGCTACTCTCTGGAGATTCGTATTCAAGCGAAACTACTCTAACAAAACCATGTAACGGTTGTAGCTGTCAATTAGACACATGTAAATACATTTTGTTGTTGTTTTTTGTTGTTGCTATAGCAATTTAAATTGAGCTGTTTGACAAGTAGTGTTTGTGTTTCTTATCTTTGTGATATATTACCCAGGGCAGAGACATTTAAAATGGTGTAGTCTCGCTCAAGTGCTCTGTGACTAAGTCGATGCGAACGCTTCGCTTCGTAATGTCGGGATGCCAGGTTCGATCCCAGCTGCAGGCAATGCGCCTTGCGTTGGTTTCGACAGTGGTATCAAGAAAGCCGACCGTCCAGAAGCAATGGCAAACTACTGGATGTAACTTGCCTAGAGAAACCACACAACAGCCAGGGGCTGTTAGGGTTGGTTCTGCAACGTCCTGTAAAGGATACGCAACTAACTTAACTCGCTCAAGCAGAAGTCTTTTTAAAGACTATAGACGGAATGCAATAACATTTTACTACTACACTTTCCGACAGCTGCCGTGGTGTAGAGGCTAAACGCTTGTCTGCGAATCGGAAGGCGAGGTGCTGATGCAGCTGCACATTTTTTTCCAAAAACCACCTTGGCTCTCTGGTCAATCCAGTCTTAAGTAGGTATCAGGTAAAGTCCTGGGAAGTAAAGGCGACCGGTGTGATGCTGAACACATCACCAACCGTGTGCCGATTGGTTTACAAAATATAGGTCTAGCGCTGTATGCCCTATAGCCTGAAGGTATCGGGACTCGAGGGCCAGTCTTGACATCAGAAGAAATGTAGGTACAGAAATCAACATATGATGAGCTGAAATCACCACAGGTACACCTATGACACATAGATGTATAACCACGACCGGCTACAGCTGACGGGCCGTGCTGCTGACGTCACCTAGTCAGGCTAACAATGCGTTAGCCTGACCTGATGACGTCAACAGCACGGCCCTACAGCTGAAGCCGGTTGTGGTATAACTATGTTTAGAGGGCTATTCTAATAAAATTAGAATTTGGCCAATCTAACCCTTTGTAAGCATTCACTAGAAAGAAAAAAAAAAAAAAAGATCCTTACAGAATATAGGTCAACGATATCAAGTACTGCCGCAAAAAAATGAAGACTAACTTATTCTGTGCAGTGGAGAGAGTACACAAAAAAATCCATACATCTGCCTAGACACTTCGCAGAAATAACTCTAGGAAGGAGAAAAGAAGAAAAAGAAAAAAAATATATCCGAGGTTCCCCCTCCTTTCCATCTCCCCACCCACCCCCACCCTACTCCCGCCTCTCAAAAAAAAAAAGAAAGAAAGAATGAAAGAAAGAAATTAGGCACTGGATACCATGGATATAAAATTGCACGAATGACGTGAGTTATCTTATAAATATTTTCTGGCTGATTGTATGAGAGTGAGGTTCATGAAAACAACAAGTATATTTATCACGAACATCGTTTGATCGATAAATTATGTTAATGCTGACACACGATTGTGTGTGTATATGTGGGTGTGTGGGTGGGTGTATGTGGTAGGCTGTTGTCCGCGCGTGCTCCGACCCTGGAAATTGCTGTTTCTCTCTCGTATTCTATCTCTGACAAAGTTTCCCGCTCTTGATTGGCAGGTGAGAACACAGGTACGCCAGCGAGCAACCATCTACCTACACCAGGTGATCTGCGAATGCTCGCCAACTCTTCACGATAATACAAGCCTGGGACGTCCAGGTATCGCTGCCTGGTTGCCTTGTGTAGCAGTACTAGTAATGTGCTGTAGATGGTAGCTGCTGGAGCCCCTCGTGCCCGTTACCTGTTGTAGCTGATCTTCTGTGGAGTCGCGACATTTGTGTCGGTGATTTATGGGACTGGGATTTATCTGTGAGTTACTTTCTGCAGGTGAGATATCTTGGGTAACATAACATAACAAAACATAACATAACATAACATAACATAACATAACATAACATAACATAACCCTTGACCCATTAGTGTCTTGGAGGTGTATTAATGGAAGCACTAGCACATAAAACCCGCCATCTTTTTCTGTCTTCTGTTTGAGGAATAAGTCTGTGATAATTTAGTCCTGTCCATTTCTTGATGTTGTCATTCCAGATAGTTCTTTGCCCTCCTCTTCTTCGACTACCCCTCCAAAGTTCCTTTAAGTACATTCTTTGCAAGCGAATCACGTCTCACCACGTGCCCAAACCAAGCTAAATTGCGACGTTTCACCACTGCCAAGAGAGGCTCCTGATTGTCCCGCTGACTTGTATATTTTGTCTCTGACATATTCATTAGTTTTGTGTTGTAAATAACTAACTATTTGGTACCGGAGGATTGGAGGATTTTTTTGTAAGTGACTTTCTTCACGTGAGACATCAACAGCACCGGGAGATTAAGTGAGGGACTTTCTACAGGTGAGACATCCGTGAGATGGGAATATTTATTTGTGAGTCTTCTTCCCCCTCATGTAGACTCCAACGGACAGTTCTGATGCAAGAGCGGTGCTTCAAGCACTCTAATCTGGAAAACTACCTGGTATACGAACACTACTCTCCAAACTAGGCCGCCGATGTAAAGGTAACTATGCAAGGAATTCCATCCCACTGTAGAGTTCCTGGAAATGAAAACGCTGATAAACTAGCTAAGGAAGGTGCAAATGAAGAACAACCTGACGTACCAGCCTTTTATCAACAAAAGAAGAGAATAATCAAGTTAATCAGAAAGCCACCAAAACTGGCAAAAGACGATTACCATTTTATGGACAGACCAGAGCAAGTTATTATTCTACACCTTAGAACAGGACACAATCGACTTCGCAGCCACAATGTACACAACATTTAAAATATGCAAATCGGACATGAGCATATGTGGAGTGGCACCTGAGTCCTCCAAGACTGACCCAAATTCAACAAATCAAGGTAAAACTTTTGGCCATGACAAAACATCGGTGCAGGGCAAATCTTTTGGCCAAGACCAAGAGAAACATCGGTGCAAGTCAAACTTTATGTGTCGCTGGGTGAATTACAAAAGACAGTGACGTTCATACTAGAGACAACATTGCAGATTGTCCCAACACTTCGCTGCAGTAACTTGAGGCAGGGAAGAAGAAGTGGGGGAGGGGGTATACTTGAGCGACCCCTGTCAGAGCTATCGCACAATCAGCATTATCATGATGCATCGATATCAAACATTGTTTGTGAGGGATATACTTGTTGTTTTCGTGCATCTCTCATACAACTCTCATGCCACTCTCATGTAACTCTCATGCAACTATCCTAAAATACTTGATCATTTTCTAGAAATGCAGCCAGTAGGTTGGCTATGGAAGACTAAATCAACCAGAATGTGAATGCTCTATTCCAGCACAAATTCCCATTTCTATGTTTCTGTGCTGGCACCTACGACTTCTCACAGGCTCTTGTTCACCTGTAAATAAACGTGACGCCGCAGTCATTTGCCTGTTTATAGCGAGACTGACTCTGCCGTGTGTCAGACTGAGGAATTCCTAAGTGGGATCTCACCCGGGCCCCGGGAACGAAAACCGCCTAGCCTTTTTTTTTTTGGTTTGCATCTCATGCTAAAAATCCCCTGGGTCACAAATAGGATTGTGCTTTAAAGGGCCCACCGGTCCCCCCAAACTTCCTTTTGCAATGGGACCCCCAACCAAATTTCAGTCTTTGCTGGGGGAGGTAAGGGTACTGGTTTGCTCGGGGGCTTTCCCTTTTCTCCCAATCACAGGGACAGACTTTTTTTCCTATCCTGTACAGGGGGGCCTACTGAGAGGCGCAAAATTAATTGGATCACATTTCAACTGATAAGGCAGCGCCTATGGCTGCAAAACTGGGCCCCAAGGGGGGGAAAAATTGAGATTTTTGTGTGTGCACCCTAGTCTGTGTTTCCAGGGGATAGTCTTCCACTCTGCTATAGAGAAGCTTGGGAATCTAAGCCCTCAAACCCCAAAATTTTTGACGGTGCGTTTTTTTCATATTTGGG